AACAGGACGAGGAGCCACGGGGCAGCCGGCACGATGCCGAGCGCACAGGCCTTGCGAGTCGCTTCTGGGTGGCACCACAACCCTGTGATCCACGTGTCCCCTCATCCCAGCCCCTCCAGGGAGGATGAAGAGCTGGAAGGGCTCACCTTGAACGAGGAGGCGCGTGGTGTGCACAGCCTCCCCCTGGATGCTGTACGCGCGGCAGGGGTAGGCACCTCTGTCCTCGCGGCTGCGCGGCTGACGGAGAGCACCGTAAGGCTCCCGTCGCTCACCTGGGAATGACAAGGGAAAACACCTTGGAGTGTGGGCTGGGACCCCCCATGGGAATTGGGGGATGTGGCCCAGCCCTGTCTCAGTACCCTCCCTTCTTCCCCCCACTTCCCACGGCAGAGAGCTGCCGGCGCTTTTAGGGCTGGATGAGAAACGGGTTTCCCCGCTCTGCAAGACTTGGGATATTAATAAACCAACACACACGTTTCTGCTCGACGCCGAGGGGAAGGGAAAAAAAAATTCATCAAATAAATAAATAACCATCACAACGCATTCATCTCCCACAGCAGTGACTGGCAGGCAGCAGGCTCCAAAATGCTCCTGCCAAGCACCCCAACACCATCGGCGTTTCACAAGGAGCTGGATGCCTCATTGGAGATTCCCTGCTCCCCAGGGAACAGCTCCACCACTGGGATAGGGTGTGAGGGTGAGACCTCCCAGCCTGGCCACTGCCCTCCCCATGGGACAGCAACAGAGCTGGAAGAGGAGCAGCTGGATTCCCCCTAGGGGATGCAGCAGAGGAAGGATGGACAAGGGACCAACATCCTCAGGGTAGCAGCACCCCCATGCACAGGGAGCCCTCCCAGGCAGGCTTCCCCCCCACCTCATTCTGCCTCATCCTTCTATTTCAATTAGTAACAAATGATTCCTAATTACTCTCATTAGTGCCTGTGCTGATTCCAATGCCTGATTTACCAATTACAGCTCAGGGGGGAATCTCTGCCTGGGAGCCTCTGGGATGCAAAAAGGGTCCTGAAGGGGAGGGGAGGAGGGGAAATCCTCCCTGCTCTAACCTCTCCTGCCCCAGCCCTGCTGCATCCAGCCCTGCTGGGGGACACACATCCCCAGACTGCAGCACCCACCCTATCTCCAGGGTCCAGCCCCGGGGGATGAATCCACAGGGAGCAGCTCAGGTGCCAGAGGAGGGCTGTCCCAAGCTCCTGGGGGGGTCTCCAGCCTGCACCCAAGGGCAGGCAGCGTTACAGGCTGCTGCTCAGCAGGGATGGAGAAGGGGGAAAAGGGCATCTCAGCAAGAAGAAGTGCTGAGAAAGCACGTCTGGCTCCAGGCATGGCAGAGCCGTCGCCACCATGGTCCTGTCAATACTGTTCTTGCTACAGGGAGCCCAGGAGTCCCCAGGACAGCCCCCAGCACAGCCCCTGTCACCCACCTACCTGGTACTTGCCATTGGCACCCAAAAGATCTCCCTCTTTCAGCCAGGTGACGATGGGCTTGGGGTTGCCGAACGCCATGCAGGTCAAGGTGACACTGCTGCCCTCCTTGGCCTCTACGTACTGCGGCGGTGTCTCCGTGAAGGTTGGAGGAGCTGCAGGGCACAGGAGACCACTGTGACCCTCCCTGGTTCACCCACTGTGAACCACTGTGGGGACACAGGGACAGAGGGGACACTGCACCCATGCACTGCCATGGCAGGGCTGGGACCACCCCAAAGGTGATCAGGGCTGCAGGGACAGGGATGACAGTGGTTGTCACAGCAGCTCTCCCTGGGGACACCAACTAAGAGCTGCCACACTGCACCCCAGAGCTGTCCCCTCTCCCCCCCCCCCCCCACCCCCGGCAGCCCCCCCCCCCCCCAGCTCCAGGGCATGTCCCCACATCCTCCCCACGTCTCACATTAACTTGCTATTGTCAAAACATGGGAAAACACCGCAGTGCAGATCGAAAGGCTCCTTCCTGATGAAAGAGGCTGGCAGGATTACAGCCCGCCCCTAATTACCCGCGGTTGTTAAAGCCCACTTTAGAGGAAGACAGGTTGGCAATTTAATCTGCTTCAGGGGGGAAAAAAAAAAAGAAGGAAGGGAAAAAAAAAAAAGAGAGAATTATATTTTGTTTCTCCCCAAATGATTTTTATTTTCCCCCTAAGAAAATTAAGCGTTGTAATGCGCTGGGGGAAAGCCACAGCCTTCACCCTGAAAGCAATTCCTCAGGCTGGGAGGATTATGGTTATTATATTGTTATTAAGTCCCTGCATGCCCCGTGCTGCATAAAAACCCAAAAATGTCCCATTTTACAAAGGGGAGGGACAGGGCATCTGGGGCCACTTCCAGCGCCTGAGGCTGGTGGTTTGCAGGATCTGTGCACGTGGTGGAGGTAACACAGGCACCATCCTCCTCCTCCTCCTCTCGTCCTCCTTCCCAAGCCCTCGGAGCTCATTAGCAGGCAGGGGGAAAGCAGGAAAAGCAGGCAGGGGAGCAAGCAGGGCTGGGGCTGGTGTGCTGCACAGCCCCGCTCGCAAAGCTCCTGCTCACTAATTGGGCTCAATTAGGTGGCTCTGCTCCAAGCTGCAGCCCAGCCATCCCCCCAAAGGTTAAATTAATTGCTCAAGGTCAAGTCAAGACCAGCGAGGAGCTGTCTGTGTCCACATCTCCTCTCCAGCCACCCCACTGCAGCAGGAGAGGCACAGCCCTGCTGTTGGGCTAAAAATAAAGATCTGTCTCCTGATGTGGAGAATGACAATTTGCTAATTAGTTTAATATACAGCCTTAATAAAATGAAAAAGTAATTGGAGTCAATCTGAATTTCAGCAAAACAAAGATTTGATTTTCTGATCTGTTTGTCGAGAGGAGGAGATTCGTTCCCAGCCCTGCTTCTTGTTGTCTCTCCTTTAAACAAGCCCAGTGTAATTAAACTGTGGAATCCCTTCATAAAACTTTGTCCCTTTTGAAGTCACACCCTGGCTGGAGCAGCCAGTCATGGCTTGAGGCTCGCGTGTCTGCAAGGCACAAACACCAACAAGGTCTGGTACCCAGCAGAAACTCAGAATCCATCAGAAATCCCAGGTTGGCACCCCAGAGATGTCACAGCCCCTGGACCCACTCACCATTGACCGTGAGGTGGACCCAGCTGCCGTTGTGGAAGGTGTCGTACTGCTGGTCCAGCATGAGCACTTTGCACTCGTACCAGCCCTGGTCCTCGGAGCGCACCTGCTCAATGCGCAGGGAGGCTTTGTCGTGCAGGCTGGCCCGGCCTGGGGGAGAGCACAGCGTTGGCACCACGGTCCCCCAACACCACAGCAGCCCCCCAACACTGGGACACCCCCATGGAGCATCATCCCAGTGCAGGATTTGGGGCTGGCTGAGCCTCACAGCCGGTCAGTGACACGCTCTCCTGTCTGGGGATGGCACAGCCAAGCTGCCACGGCCAGGCAAGGAGCCGCGAGCGGCGGTTGCCCGC